CAGATTTTGACATCAAATTTTGAGGTAAAAAAGTGTGTCTTATACATCGAAAAATATGGTATTTCATCCCATCTAATACAAGATAAATAAATAACTGGGAATTCAAAAACCTGGAAATAAGGATCATAAAAAAGTAAGGAAACAAGGCTGGAGATACCGTAGACATTATTTGCTCAAACTACAAACCCCTATTTTGGCTTCATGCTGTTACATAGATTTACATTTGGTGGAGTCAGAATAAAGATTTGTAGTATGAGTAAGTAATGTCTACAGTATCTCCAGCCTTGTTTCCTTACAATCCCTATTTACAGGTTTTAAGTTTCCAATTTTTTATTTATTTCGTTTGCTGGTTTTCTTTACACTCAACTATTGGTAAAGGATTACTTGGTATGGTAGCTAAATTTATAAATTCTAATGATAACAAACACAGCTAGTAGCTAGCTGATATGGTCATGATGATCTACTGTAGCTATTTGCTATTTGATTGCATTAGTTTGAGATGTAAAATGTTGAACTGCAGCTGGAGATTGTCATGGAGATTTGTTTGAGAATATAGTGAGCATTTATAGTTTCTGTGTAATTAAATTTTCTATATATAATTCATAGTTGTGAGCAAATATATACCTAGACTAAGACACAACACCCACAGGATGCGTATAAAATTTTACCACTAGAAAAGCAGCCTTTTCAAATTAAACATATACATTTAAAACATCACATTAAATAAACCTTTGTGTCTTTTAAAGTAATTATTCTACGAATGCGTATAATAAAATTTAATATTATATTTATTGAATTATTTTTTTGTTTTACTCCTTCACTTTATAGGTAATATGGGGTTGGTTCCCTAAAGACAACGATTGTATAGTGTACAAAGCATTGAGTATCTACATGTTATAGTCATCTGATGTTCATCTATTATTGGCTGGAAATTCCTTTTTCATTCTGTACTTAAGAAACATCAGATATTTGTAAGAAAGCTAACTTCAAAGAGTAATGATAACATCATTTACACTAGAATTATAATGTTTTTTAGCTTATGTAAATTACAGAAAAAAACAAATATATTTATCAATAACACTACAACCTTTGCAGTACACTGTTTAGTATTCTACAAAAGGTTTGGGTACAATATACCAAACAGTTTTTGCTGTAGGCTGGCAAGCAAATAATAATAAGAAGAAGAAGAACAATTACGAATAGGCCATTTTCAGCAGATTTACTTTATCTTGTAAGTCTAGTGTGTGTGTGTGTGTGTTTGTGTGTTTCATGTGTGTATGTATTTTTATGTGTACAGCCTAAGCAGTCAATAGTAAAGGTTTTAAAGTGTGATTTAAACTGAAACTTTACTGTTTAAGGTGCTTTTTCCCAAACATTCTATTAAGGTTTTATGCAATTCCTTGTGATCCCTATTATGAACCACTATCGTGGTTTATGAGGAACAAGTATGCTGATGCTGAAGTTCTGTAAAAGTTCCTTATTATCCAAATAATTCACTTTTATCAGAATGACTTGTGTTATCAAATATCATGCATTATTATTATTATTATAATAGACAACAAGAAAAGAAAACACTAAATGTTGCTGTCAGTGTGTATAAACATTTTTTATGAGACTGCACCTTGTTAAACACAAATAAAACATTATTACAAGAATTAATAGTTTTGTTTGAGTTACTTACTGATTAAGTTATATTTTATTAGAAGTTACTGCTTTTACAGTAAAGAAGATTATTTTTAGAGCAGGTATGATGTTTTTGATCACTGGTGTAATTATTCTTAAGTACAAAGTGGTGTAGGAACAGTAATTAATTTTTTATTGTAACATTTCAAATGTAGATTACAATTACAATTTACAGATACTGTTTCTGAAGTATGTTTTTATGTATAGGCAATGTAATAAATACTAATAATAGTAACACTTTCAAAATGCATTCCCTTACTTTTTTATTTAGCACTACACCACTGCTGAAGTACAGGTAATAGTTACATAATAAACACTCTTTATCAGATGTTATAATTACAAATTAACACACTGTGAAATACAAAATCATATATCAATACATAATACATCACTATATAAATATTTTAAAAATGTATACTCAGGCAATAGTTTCATAATAAATACCCTTTAGTAAAGATCATAATCACAAGTCAACACACTGCAATATAAAAAATCAAATGTTAATAGATAATACATAATCATACAAATCACTTAACAATGATTAATGTGCAACAAACATATAACATTACAAGTGCACTGATGGATATTCAAATAACCCTTTAATAAATAAAACAAAAACATAAACTATGTGAAGTGAAAAACCTTTACAAAACATAGCAGCAGATACACTAAGTTTTTTTAATAAAATGAAATAAGAAATGAACTAGAAATGCTAAATAAGTCATTGTACATTGAATAAAATACAATATATTTAAATTTACCATACAGAATAAATTCTTACAAACTTTATGCATATATACTCATGGGATCCCAATATATAAAAAGAGAACACAACTGAAATAGCTTTAATATATTAAAGCAGAGTAAAGTAAGTCCTTTGAAGTGACTACAGAAAATTCAGTGACATGGTAAAACCTTTTGATAATAAAACAACACAAGATATAACCCTTAACACAAATAGGTATGCAGTTACGTTGCAAGAAAGAAAAAGAATGATTAACTGATGAATCCAGGACAGTAGTAATCCTTCAACATTGGTGTAAAGTAATCATATCATAAATTAGTAAAATTTGTTAACCACAGCTTTGCATTTCACCAGTAATAATTTTCAACTTTGTTATATGGCTGTGAAACATGGAACTTGATGCAAGCATTAATTAACAAACTAGAAGCGTTTGAGATGTGAGTGTACAGAAAAATGATGAAAATATCCTGGAATAGACTAGGTTACAAATGAAGACATTCTCAGTATGGTGAATGTGAAAAGATATGTTGTACCAACCATAAAGAAAAGAAAATAGCATATTTTAGCCATATTATGAGATGAAACAACACCCAGCGAGTCCTACTAGAGGGTCAAATAAAAGGGAAAAGATACAGGAGAAGACCAAGAACAGAGCGGACTGAGATAGTAAAATATGAAGACCTGGTGCAAATAGCACAGAACACACAGAAGTGGAGAACTCTGACAGCCAACCTTTCTAAGAAAGACAGCACATGATGATGATGATAAGTAATAATTTTATAACATACATCAATTACAACATATCATAAAAATTACACTTTAATGAAGGTCAATGAAGTACACATACACACACATATCTAATACCTGAATACTGTTTGTACAAAATGTGATATGAAAGTATCAAAGCACCTTTTTATAAAAATAAACATATTGTTAATGAACCCTTTTCCTGAAAGTTAACTTTGAATTAATTATTTACAATACTGAACACAAGGCAGGACATGAAAACACAACTACTTACTGGTTCTCCACAGAGTTATGGTGGGGAAGCAGATGCAAGTGATGTCTCCAATGTTGGTCATTGTAGTTGAAAATCTAGCAGGGACATTGTGGTTTGGAAGGATTTCAATGTAAGACTGTCAACAGCATCAGATGAAATCGATATATTGGAGGATCCTTCCAACAGAATATCCTCCTGTATCAGCTGCAATCAAGCCAAAAGATCCCTAAATTTGAATTTAGTATTTCAGTGTAATCAAATGCATGTATTCTATTGTGGCAACTTCAACAGAGTTTGAGGTTTGAGTACATAAGAATTAGAAACATCACTGGCTAGTTGAATAATAAGATTGACATAATTTTCAAGTGCTCAGTTATAAAAGGTCAGTCATTACTACCCTCAAAAATCTACCTTTAGAAGCAGAATAATCAGTGAATAACTTGGTTCAAGTGACATTTCCATGGAATTCACATGTGCTTATGCTCTAATTGCTCATAGAAGATGTATCCTTAGTAGCTGTGACTTTGTAGGTCCACAAGCCTCATTGGGTCCCCACTTTATCTATACTTTTTAGCCATGCTTCCCCTTGTTGTCATTCCCATGACAATGTCTAACGTGCTTTCCCTTCGACCCAGATCCATTCCTTCCACTAACATCTTGATTTTGCGTAAACAACACCCAGTTTCATTAGAAAAGAAATGGGTTTGAGACTGCAAAACTGGTTCCTACTTGCACGAGGTGAGTCAAGTTAAGCGACACCAACCCTTACTTTTGACCATTTTAATCCTTTAATGTTTACATTGGCCTTTTTTTATGGAACATTATTCCAATTAAAAATTTAGTATTAGATATGGTGTGATTTATAAAGTTTTACCATATGAGTGTTACATTACACCTTCTCCTAGGACATTCAAAATCTGCATTTTCATGCAATTTGTACTGCTCCTTGTAATGTAAAAATGTTATGAAAACATTCAGAAAACTGTGTATTATACTAAATATTCCAATCTGCATGATTGAAAGCATTTTAACATAATCATATAAAACACTGTGTATATCAAGCTTATATTTGTTATATCTAAGCTGCTGTTTGTGAATTTCATATACTAATAATAATTTCTCGTAAACATTTCAATTTGATCCCATCAAAATATCATGTATTACTCTTACTAAAAAATAACATGTAAAGCTGTTTTCTTCTCTCAGATATAATGTGAGGCTGTCCATTACTCTTATCCTTCCATAAAAATTCACCAACTTTTGAACATTGAATGTCAAAATTGAAACATTTTGTCATAAATATTAATGAAACTAACAGATACACTGTATCATCAAATAATGCCTGAAATGCCAGTAATCACAGTTAACCTCATATTACAAAGTATTAACAAATCCTTTATTTCCATTCACATATAGCTTAATAGTTGTGTTCTTTGTGTATTGATTCATTTCTATTATACAACACTGATTAATGACTTCATGTAATGTTCCTACGAGCATGTGGAATCCCACATGTATATTTATTTATACACATATATTTCCATTGACATATATATCTGTTACACATCATTACATATACTAATAGCTCACAACAGACTGCCTCTAGCTCTCTCCCAAATTACTATGTAAACATCTCAAGCTACTTTCTGAATCTATTGTGTGGAAGCTGCAGTCTAGTAAGTTACTGCTACCTAGAAGCCATCAAACAAAAATCATATTTCTTTTCACAGAATAAATAATCAACCACAGAATTCAGCTAAACTAACATTTTTTAGCTCAAATCCTCATAATTTATGAAACGTAATTCCTTCACTGCATATACCAGATGAGATATTATTAGGGCTATGCAGCATTCTTCATACAGTTCTCACCACTCATCTAGATCAAGTGAGTAATTATAACAAAATTTGTTTAATGTTTTTCTTTAGAAAAATCATTTGGTAGCTGAGAGAGCAACTGTTACAAAGCTCTTTCAGCTGAGTTTTTGAACTTCTAGCCATCATTCAGTTCTATAAACTGTTGGTCTAGGTCTATTAAACCAGCCATTTTAACTGTGCTAAAATCTAAAAGCTATCTTCTGATATCCTATGCATATCTCTTACAGTGAAATTCTTCTTCACAGCTTCAAATGTAACCCTTTCAGTCCCATTAATCTTACAATCAGCAAACTATCCTCACTTCAGATAAATGAGTAGTAATCATACACTATATCTTGCAACACCATCTGTTAGCTCAGAAAGTAAGAATTACAATGCCCTTTTATCTTTGTTTTCCAACTCCTAGTTGTCACTTTCAGTTGTGCAAACTGATGGTACACTAGGAGTGTACACATATTATTTTGATTGTGTTCATGACTTTGAAAAGGATTGTTTCATTTTGTTTTTGTACATTCGTGTCTGCTCTCTTTTTCAAACTCAGTCATTTTTAGAGAAATTCCAAATTTCTTTATAACTTATCTTGCAGATCCACCTATTATTCAGTGGACCTACCTAATACTTTTTGAAAAAGTCAGTTTTATCTGAAAATACTACAGCAGGTCTACTGATGGCATTGGGAACATTGTTTTTCATAACACTATGTATGCATTTCATCTGTTAATGTAGTAATTAAACTTTGATTCATGAAAAATCAAGAGAGAGATTCCTTATTGTTTTAAACTCTTCATCTGTTCTCTTAAAAGTTATATTAAACATCATCTTACAATAGTTTCATGTAAAAAAATTTCAAACATATTTTATTTAGCATATGCAGTAAATTTTTTGTTCAATTATTTAATGTTTCAAACGTAGTACTTGCTCAATAGTTGAGAATAATTTTCTATATCTGATGAACATCATAATGTGTACAATTAGAAGCACTCAGTACATGAAATTGCATTTTACAAATTCATGCACATCAAACAGTGTTTTTATACCTTTACACATCAAAATCTCATTTAAAAATAGCATTGCATAATTTGTTAACTTATTTACATGCTATTTATTAAAAATAGTAAAATAAGGTTGATTTCTCTTTAAGTTATTATTTCAATTTCCTCTAGAAGTAAATTATTTACATAGATTAACTTGTATAGATGTTACATGCTTATACTTAGTTCTAGTTCCTAAACATATTATGCTTTTTTTTTAAACCATTTAATCCTTTTCCACTTTTATTTTAAAGATTCTTCAACTTCGTTTTTTTTTGCTTTCTTTGGATTGCATAGTCAGTCTTGATCCCATTTTCAATTCTTTAATACTGTAAATCACTTGACCATTTTTGTACCACACTCCATTACAATGCAATATGCTCCTGAATATCATTACCCTGTCCCAATATTTTGCTGTCAACAATTTTTATTTAGTTCTTTTCTATGCAGTCGACTGACTTTGCCACCTGAAATGAAAAGAAACTACAGTTCCTTAGGAAATTCCAACCATTATGCCATTAGTAACATTTTGTATGTCTGTATAATGTGTATATTGTTTATTATGTGAAACATTTCTATTATTTATATGAATTACTATTTTCTAGTACACAGCAGACAATTTAATTTGTATTTTTATGTACAAAACAGAACTTGTTATTGTGTCAGATTGTTTATTAATACTTTAAAGTGTTTTTATTGACTGTCAGACAATTTATATTCATTTATGACTGCCCCCTAGTGTTTTGACATTTCTACATGCCTGATCATAGCATTTTATTATAGTACTATGGATCACAAACCTTGTATATAGTTTTTCTGCTCATCCATTTCATGACTTTTGAAGAAAGGTTATCTTTGAAAATCTACTTATCTACTTCAATAGTTCAAAATAACTGAATATACAGATACCTTTTGAGGCCTGGTATGACCTGGTGGTTTGGGCACTTAGCTCTTAATCTGTGGGTTGCAGGTTCAACCTTACATCACCGAACATGCTTGCCCTTTAAACCATAGAGGCATTATAATGTGATGGTCAATTCCAATATTCATTGGTCAAAGAGTAGCCCTGGACTTGGTAGTGGGTGGTGGTGTTTGATTACCTGCCTTTCTTCTAGTCCATCACTGTTAAATTAGGTGCAGCTAGTACAGATAGTCTTTGCACAAAATTCAAAACAAACCAAATACAGAAATTCATTAATTACTTTACTTTGTATTTTTGAAAAGTAAATATAACCTGGGGAAAAAAATGTATGTGCCTTAAATTAGAATAGTACTATTAAAGTTTACATTCCTAGATTGATTTCTGTAAAATTAAGCTAATCAATAAAACTGTGCAGGAATTTTTATACCTTTGCTTATTTATTAATTGTAAGTTTCAAGAAGACATAATTCAGTTTGGAAACAAACTTCATTATTATAGTATTTTGGCACTTGTGTATAAAGTTAAAATCATAAATAATATTCAATGTTAAACTGTATACCAGTTTAACATTGAATATTATTTATGATTTTA